GGTATATACAAAGAAAATGCTTTTACAATTTTGAATAACAATATGCATATTTTAAGAGCGAAAGACATGAGAGGATTTAAAGTTATTTATATTTCTTGATTATTTGCATTAGCCGATCTCCTGAGATGAAAATAAAGCTACTGTTCGAGTAACTACACTGTGATTTAATATGCTGATCACTTGAGATAGCCGAGAAAGGGGCCATGACCCGTTAAGAACTGTGTGAGCCTAGCTCCATTTTTTACTTATGGACAGAACTGTAGAACACGTCTGCTCGTCTTTGCAGATGGCCACTGCTCCGGCTATTTATTCATAAGATACACCTTTGTAAAATGCTTGAGATACAACAATGGGAGAAGTATTTTCTGTTGTAGCATAGTTACATCGTTGGCAGCCTCCTTCGCAATATTGTCAACAACTTCATTCCTCTGTATTCTAGAGTGAGCGAGGAACTGAGAAACAAAAAACGTTTCTGTACGGTATATTATTTTTTTACATAATCGTCACGATGAAACGCGTACTATCTGCACGATGAAATGCGAGGTGTTGCAAAATAATCCGCTGTTGCAGGAGATCTTAATGGCATCGTAGTGTCATCAACAGACTGAAATTGTTACCAAGGGGATGAAAACTCCTGCAGAAGACGTGGGGCTGTACAACGGAGGATTATCACAACGGCAGACAATCGTTTCATGCTGCTAAGTGCAAGAAGCCATAGATCAATAACAGCACGACAGCTGGTGTCGCATTTCTATGCTGCTGCAGGATGGCCCATATTCCGTCAAACTGTGGTAGCGTCAACTACTATATGAAAGTGGACTGTACGCCCGACCACTTGTCATTTGTGTTCCTTTGTCCCCATCGCATGTCAGAGCTCGGTTTAATTTGTCTTGTCAAGATAGCAGATGGACACCAAGACCGGTGGGACCACTTACTCTTTACGGATTAGTCTCAATTCAACATCCAGAACGATTCCCGAAGGGCAGTGATATGGCGAGAGGCTATCGGGTGCCAAATGTCGTCGAGAGACCATTACAGAGGAGGAAGTTTACTTGTATGGGCTGGACTAGCAACGAATGGCCGCACTGACCTCTTCGGGATTCTTGGTGGTTCTATCACAGCCGTTCCATATCGCGACATTCTATATACTCTTGTGCGATCTGTTATCGCTGCAATGGGTACCGACGCTTTATATATAGACGATAATGCCCACCCGCATAGAGCTGAAGTGGTGCGGAGTTATCTGGAGGTGAAACTATTCCAAATCTCCCGTGGCCTGCTAGATAATCGAACCTGAACCGCATAGAGCATGTGTGGGACATGTTAGGACGACGAATAGGAGATCGCAGTGTTCCTCCAGGCACCTTCTACGAGCGCCGACATGCATTACTACAGGAATGGGCGCTACTGCCACAACAAGCGATCAACTGCACTACTGCAAGTTTGCCTCATCGTATTCAACCATGCATTTCAGGTAGAGGGTATCACAGCCGTTATTAGCGTAATGTTTTCATTGCACATTCTTCCGAACATTTGGTCTTTAACGATGTGATGATCGTAATACATGTGTTCTTGTATGTCTTTGCTTTATTGCATGCTATGTGCTCTAGCAATACCATACCAAACTTTTGGATCAATTTCACGCGTATCCATTAAAAATTTTTCGTTTTACTCCATGTTTCACCTTTGTTGCTCATTTGTTTGAGCAGGAGTGTCATGTAATACCAAGGAAAAATTTTTCTGCAGTAGTTGAGACGTTTTCCTTTAGAATGTCAAAATACATGTACGTATCCATTCGTCTTTCAATAAGACATAAATTGCCGACACCAGCAGCATTTATACACCCTAAATCAAGATATCTCCGTCACCGTGTTTGACGGTTCCACATAAATTTTTAGTTAGTATCTGTTGATTTGATTTTCTCCTGACCATAACTCGATCATGTGCCACATCGGTATTAAATTTTGATTCATGACTAAAAAGGACTGATTCCCCAAAAGATAAAAGCTTAATTAAGATTAATTTGCATGCTTCTTTGGAAACTCGAGGCGCTTTTTTTCTGCTTCAGAATGTCTCGGTCTCTCGATACACAACTGCTGCTCGAGATGTAGTCACGATTTTCTTATACGGCGGAGTTTCATTGAACTTTGAAATCTGGCAACAGAACAATATATAAAAATGTTATGCTTATGTTTTAGAACCGTTGTATATTGAATAACGAAATAAAATGTGTATATAAATGCAAAATAAAGACTTAAAAAGTCTTTTCACAGTCTGCACTTACACTGTAACCTGCTTTTTAATGACATTTCTCGCCGTTTAAGGTATCACGTCAATGTTGCCATCAGTCTTGAAGTCAGCTGCGACTTGAGGTGCAATTACTCTTGAATTATCTTTAACCTTACTCATGATATTTCATTTATGTAAGCAGTTTAACTTTGGATGTTTTCCGGATCGATCTTGATCCTCACATGTTTGAAGCTCGCGTAATCCTTTAATAACATATTGTACTGTAGACTTATTCCTTCAATAACATAATGAACTGTAGATTTATTAATGTTTCCACCGATTTGTTTCATAGATAATCCATCATTTTGTAACTCAATCATCAACTCACGGAAAGCTTTGGGAACTTCCATTTTAAGACGATGAGCTACAAACTAGAACTAAACATCTACTGCTATCCTATCTTTGTGACGCTTACATACGATCCAGTTTCGAAATTTTACTGAGGGTCAGTTGTAGGAAACGTCAAGATTAATTTGCACATTGAGCATGGAAACATTTCTTGCAAGCACTCAGCTTATTTTAGCAGTTGCTAGAGGTACGAAGCAAAGATTAGAAATTATGTTAATATATTTGCAACTTTGGCTTCCGAACGGAAAGAAGTTTTGCCCCCAATAACTGTGCAATGTTTCTGCAGAATTACTGGACTAAATGGGCGGGTGGTACTACAATAAATCCCAAAATTTCGAGGCTTGGGATTTATACTAACATATTCAGAGAAAACTACCAGATAGTTAATAGCATTAAAAGTATTCCTTCCACATGATCATGTGATCAGCATGTCACATAAGGAATCTGAACTCTGAGTTACGTTGCCATCATCATCCTACTTTGTTTTAAAAATTTACTTCAAATCGGTTTAATTGTGTACGTGCTTTAGCTTTAATTCGGTCTCTCTAAAAAGTAAGCATGTGTTTAGAAAGGAATTCAAATAAGATTTCGAAATTTAACATGCAAGATTTTCTTCGGATAAAACAGCGTTTTTATGGAAAAGTTTGATTTCTATTAAATTATTTGAATGATGATTTTAATTATCTTAAATTTTCTATTCATTTTTCATAAATCTGTACTCTGATGTTATCAAAGTTACCGAAATTTTAAGCTTACCATTTAAGACATAAAAAGCGTTTTTTTAAACGAAATTTTCGAAAAGGAGATTTAACTAAAATATTAATTTATTAGCTTTCAAACTGACAAATTGCTAATCTGAAATCTTAAAATCAAGGACAATTATTCATTCCATTTACAATTTTAATTTCTGAAGCCATACAATATGCAACCGCTTTAAAAATGTTTGAAATTGTTCGGCTTAACAGTTGTAATATATTTTGTGTTTTATATACAGGCCGCATATGAAAGTCCCTTTAACCTGAAAATTCTTCCGAATGGAGAAAGCTACAGCTATGCAGGTGAGGTAATGGTAAAAGCGTCTGCACCCGATCTAATACAGACGACAGCAGCACCATTTGTGGCAAAATTTGGAAGATAGGCATTGCAAATTGAAAATGAAAAGAGATAGAGCAAAATTTCCAATTAGAACGTTTTAGAGCATCAATTAATTAGCAGGAAACGATATTTGGTTCACACAGATAAGATAATTTGTTGCCTGTATACTCAAAGATGTCCGCAATCGATGAACTCCATTTTTGTGTAAACGTTTGGAAGGAACAGCTATAGGTATTAAGAAATACGCACCTTTTTATTGCACAAAATACCTACTCATGTCAATGCAGTTTCATAACATCGCGCGCACACACACATAACACACCATAACAAACAAAAAACGCAAAAGAAAACTGTCACACAGTGATAGCAAGTCAATGTTATCATCTGCCACTGATATGATAATCAGGTTTGAAATTATGCTCTTTGTATGAAGCCAGAGCCAACACCTTTCAAACTAAAATTTTATATGCATAGGAAATTGAAGTTTTACAGACGTTGCAGTACAGTACAACGTCATAATCTGCAATTGCGCACTGCTACATTTCCGAAATGTGAATATGCAGAGCATAATCGTCGCGCAACAATTGCGGACATCTTTTGGTATACAGGCAACAATTGAAATTATCCTTGTGAACCAAATGTCGTTTCGTATTAATTAATTGATGCTCTAAAACTTTTTAATCGGAAATTTTGCTCTGACGCTGTTGTCGTTTGCATTAGGTCGGGCGTAGCCGCTTTACCATACCTATAGTGTACTAGAAGATATTAGTACACTATACTATATCGTTTACCTCACTTATATAGCTGTAGCTCTCTCCTTTCGCAAGAATTTTCAGGTTAAAGGGACTTTCCTATGCACCCTGTTTACTTTCTTTAAGAGCTTATTTGGCAAATGGAAATCTGTTTTTAAGATTATGAAAGTCGTGTGTTTCTAATGTTATAGTATCATTTTATTTAAGCATTTAAAATAACGTGAATTTATGAGCTAGAGTTATTTGAAATTAAGAACTTAATGAAAATTTATTGCGCATATTTATTTAAAAAATAACTAATGATTCAATAGCAATTATTTTCCTTAAACAATCAGGATAATCAATATTTTATTATTATTTAACTTCAATCTTCGTACAAGTTCCAACTAACCTGGGAAGCATCAATGAATATTTGCATATCCACTCGCCATAGTGTACAGTTCTTTGCTACCTGCGCATCAGTCACACGAACCAGCCAGAGAATAAAATGCACGCTGCTAAGATTGCGGTACAGTTTCGTATACCGTTGCGGGTGGGTTATCGAAGTAAAGCTGCATTTAACTTTTCCATTTACACAATGAAGTTGATTAAATTTGCAGTTTTAGCAGCAGCTCTGTGTGTAATCGTTCTTGGAGATAGTTCTGATCTCGAGGACGACGACAATTCGACTGTTATTTATGAAGAGGGTTCCGCTGATGAATCTCCGATGGTCGAAATCGACAAAATTTTCACTCATAGTTTTTTCGTGGTTGGTATATTATTTTCAGCCACTTATTGCTAATTTTTTAAATTCGAACTGTTTCGAATTGCTAGCGTATGTTCTGTAGACAAGTTTATAGCTCAATGAAAGTACAAAACAATGTACAATATTGTTATACTGAAGAAGATTGTTGTTTGACTTCTGAATTAGTACTGTTATACTGGTTTAGTCCTATGTTAAGTTTTATTTCCTTTTGAAATAGTTCCCTAAGGTTGCTGAAGAATTCGCATGTTTTGTTATTGGCATTTGTGAAATCGACGAGTAGAAATGTTATTCGAATGTTGTCCTACATCAAAACTTCCGGGCAGATCTTTCATTAAGCCCTTCTAAAACTGATATGTTAAATCTTCAACACAATCCTTCAGCTTAGAGATTCAGCCCATCGTTCGAATTCTAAACAAAACTTTTTAATTCCAATTTTAGTGTAATTTTTTAAACCTCACTTTAGTTTTCAAACATTGAAACAAATGTTTCTAACTTGTATCCGGTGTAGCTCTTTCCGCAATGAGACTAATGAAGTTTTCATATCTCTACGAGTTCAACTGTTATCAAGTAATTCTACGACTAGTTCATCTTTTTCAAGTGGTGTAAGCTACATATCTTAAATATATAAATGTAATTATTTGTTAGTTTTAATTATTCTCATGAAAGAATGTGTCTAAATTCTTATTTGAAGATGTTTCTTTTACGTGTAATGTCAACTTGTCAAATGTTAACTTTTCATTTGTGACTTTTTACCTATAAATTGTACCACGTAGTTAAAAATTAACCTAAAAACTAACGGAATTAAACTATATTCAATTGAAATTAACTCGTAGAGGAAGGTATGTAGTATTAAAAACTGAAACCTCCGGTGACCTCGCTAATTTTAATTTCTCTTCATACATTTATATTTTAAAAATTCATCGACCTTTTAATACAAAAACGTTTTCTTTCTGTATGAAAATGCTGTCGATACATTAAACCAATATATTAAAATAACTAATTAGTATGAGATAAGCTGTTAGTTTTCCTTAGATACTGTAATAAAGCAGTCTGTTGACAATTTATTGAACTGAGAATTAAACATGCCATTAAAAAAAATCTGAATTCTTATGAAGTATAGCTTTACTTTAGCCACCATTAAGGGAGGAGTAAAAATGGTACTTTACCTTGTGAGCAACTAGTTATGTTAAAAAAGCGAATTTCTATCAATTGATGTTCTATGAATTATTTGGAAATAAGTCCTATTACACTCGGATTTCTTCACGTTAAAGCTAAGGTATTAACATGCTGGACTGAATTTGTTTATAATATCCAAGTTTATTTACCTAGTTTACAATTAACACAAAGCAGCTTCTTTCAGTCTGAAGGCCAATGATCGTAATGAGGTAGTATATAAATTTTTAAATCTGTGCCTTGAAATAAATACGCGTCTCGCAGTGTAATTTAATTAAATTATTTTTAGGAGACTGATCGATCAGTGACCACGCGAGAAAGACCGCACTATTGGTATTTAATGTTGGATTTTCCCACCGACTTACTTTGCGGAGAGAGAGGATTTCGTAGTTTTGCTGCTACGCAACTTGATTACCGACATAATTCCTTTAGGAAGTTCACGAAGCCATTTTTTTTTCAACATAGTCGTGGACTAACGTGTTTTTCTCCATTATCAAATGATGCGAAATGAATTTTATTGTTCCTAACTTATTAAAATTGAGTCTTGCTCGTAAGAATGCATTCCGTCCAGTTTTGTTTGCATGCATTGTAAGTTGCATGCAATATCTTATCTAAACAATATCTTATTTTGGAAATTTCAGGGTAAATGCATGTATTTAAATATCTATTTTCCAGCGATTAGCTCTAAAATTTATTGCATCTTTCATAATGTTACTTCACGTTTTATATCGTATAACTGAAATTCAAAAAAAAAGAAAAAAAAGGTGCCTTTGACTCCAAAAATATTCATTCGCTCCAAACGTATAATCTGTGAAATTCTGGAATTAAAACATTTGTGTTTTGTAAACAACACGGTATTGACAACCCTTTCCCTTAGGTAACATAACTTATAACAAATAGATTACGACATATTGTGCAGTTCTTCCTTAACTCTTGTTCCTTATTGTATATTTCGGTAAAAAGCTTTTCGAAACGTGTTGAAACTGCACTAATGTTCGAATCTTGGCAAATGGGCTAAATGCATAAGTGTTTCCCAAGTTTTCCCAGTGTTTAAGCCACATACGGACTTGTTTCCTTTAGAAAAGCGGCCGATCGGTAAAATCTCTGAACACTGGTAGTTTGGTCCGAGATTCAAATTCCTACAAACAGACTGGCTGGTTGGGCGTTTTTGTGATTTTCCCCATATGTAACGTGTATACCACCCGGTTTCCTTTAGAAAATTTCCACGAAGACATCCCTTCGCTTTGGCAGATAGCTCTCAAGTGCTTCTTTCCGTAACTAAACAAATCGAATCTTTAGAAAATTGCGATACTTTTCTTTTATGCATATACCCTCCGTCTGCGTGCTTAGCCGTATTCAGTTAAATAATAAAAATTCTGATAACCGTAATAGCATGATATCGTGAGACTGAATTTCGGAAAAAATGTGGCTTATTTTACAAGAGTTCCCAAAGCTATTTAATATTACCGATTACAAACTTGGAATTTCTAATTTTGCATTATCAGAGTGAGAAAAAAGGGTAGAGTAAGCAATTAAAAAGGGGTTTATTTCATCTGTAGTGAGAAAGAAATATTTTAAATTCCATAGCCCACCGAGGACAACCATTCAGGCTATATAAACCGGATAAGTATTTGACATTGTTTCTGAATAATTGTTCCCATGCATGTCAATAGTTGCAAATAATTTGTAAATGGGAAATAGGGATCAACTTGAACTATTTCGGGTGAAGAAGCAGGTTTTAATACAGAGTTTTCTAGAGCGATTTTGGAATATCTTAAATACATCTTTTCGAAAGAAGGAAAATCTTATGAATACGGTAGTACATTCTAAACTGGCCTCCGAGCGGTAAATTCTCTGAATACTAGTTCAAATATTGCAAACGGGCTGGGTGCATGAGCGTTTTCTTGGTTTTTCCATGTGTGACGTATATACGAGGCAGTTTCTCTTACAAAGTCATCCACGAAGGCATCCCTCTCCTTAGGCAGATAGCTCTCGAGGCTTTGCTATAATCAAATAAACCAAAAAAACCAATTTTCAACAAATGCAATTTATATATTTAAATTAGTCTTTCAATTATGATTCCTACTTTCATTTTCAGATTCCAGGAAATGGCACCTGTGAAGAAGGCGTTCCTTGTGGTTACGCTACTTTTGCAACTTCAATTACAACTCGTGAAATCTTTGTTAAGAGCAAGTACGTGTATTATACTTTTGATATACCTTTAGTCGAACTATTGATAACAAAAGATTTACACTGAATAGAAACTTTTAATCTTCTTACCTTCTTCAAAAGCAGGCTTATAACCGCTTTTACTAGGAATGTAGCATAAAATACAGCCTTGTATTGGAAAATAAAAGTACCGATTTTTATATAGTCGTTCTGAAAAGGGATATTTTAATATGAAACTTTAATATATAAAGATCAGTTTCAGTAATTTCTAGTAGCAGTTTTCATTAGACCGTGATAATTTGAAACCTTTAACTTCGCCTGTTATGAAAATATTAAATGTAAAATATTGCGTTAATTTAACTTTATTCGTAGCATAAAATGGTACTAGTTATACATTTTAGAAATACATATGTACGAAGAAAAGCAATTTCCTGTAAAATTCATCTGAAAGAAACCAAATTACCGAATTTGGTTTTCTTTACATATTGGTTTGTTATAAATTGAATGAATAAAATTTCTTCTATCAGAAGAAACACTTCAAAGTTCTGGAATTTTTTCCTCATACTCGTACAGGTGTTCAGAGTATTTCAGCTTTAAACTACTAAGGGCATCTAAAGCGAAAGCTAACCCGGAGATATCTGTTTACACTGAACTTCAACTCTCAACACCAACAGCTAAGAGCAGATGCTCTCTCTCCGGCCTTATGGTTTGCACACGGCCGCCGAGCTATTTCTAGTACTTTCTGCTTCTCGAAGTCACTGGAAAGCAATGAGGGTCGAATTATGGTGCTAGCTAATACAATGATAAATTACATTTATTCAATTTCTGTGCATATTACGAACCGAACCGGACCAAATGGTCGACAATTTTGGCAACCAACTTCTGACAACTTCTTGCCAAATTTGGGAACAAAATAAGTCTCCAAAACTGTCGCCATATTACCCGTTTACTCAATGTTAAATAGGCTTGCCCCTGTATTACCTTTTCCGGCATAGCGTTTCTGTTTCGGATGTCTCTTGTGTTGCATTACAAAGAAAAATGCAATTTTCACATAACATTGCATTAAAACCATACATCTCTGTAAACAGTCGCAACAATATTTTTAATTCTGAAATTGTAATGAGGTTCTAAATGTTTAACAAGCTTTGTGAGTGGCAAGAACAAACAGGAACTAAGCCATTTCTAGTTCTGTGTTGCTTAGTTTGAAAGTAGGATGCAAAAGATAACGCAACGAATCATCTCAAATCATACCTGAAATCCACAAATCTTGTTACTGATAATTTTAATATGCATACTTAACATTATCTTTCTTTAATATGTACTAATTTCCTTTTGCAGTTGTGACTGTCCAGAAGGAAGTATATGCTACTTAAATGCTCTTCAAAGTTCATCATACGTATATCGTTGCTCTCAGTCACGGAATGAAACTGACCCTATCCTCAAAGAAGTTGCTGTGCCGTCTGAATTTCCTGTCCAGAATAATACCCGTACTCTTCGAAGCTCCTCGATGTTCGATAACAATAAATGAGCTTTGATATTGCCTGTTGGAAAATCTGAATCAATACTGTTCTAGGATTTGACATCAAGACATCAATTATTATTCAGTCTTCACTTCAGCTTAAAGTTCACCTTGTAGTTTCAATAAATTTACCGACTGTTTATTTTAGATATGGTGTATTATTTAAACAGACGATGCCCACTGAGAACGGAATTTGTCGCTTAGATCTGCAAGCAATATTAAAGCACGAAGTGTCGGATTATACTTGAACTTCTCGAAACATATTCACACAAATTGATTCTGCAAACGGAAGTAATCCGATTGACCTAATTCAACAAGTTGTGGGTTTTGAGGTCTCAAAATGTTAAGTATATCCGTAGATAATCAGTTTCAAACTGGGTCTTCGAAATAACTACATTAAAGGGATACATTTAGAGAAATATTACGTGCAGCCTTTGGAATATAAGGTATTTTCTGTGACTGAAAGTATTTTAAATACAAGTGAACAATGTAATTTTTATTCAGATTTTAAATACGGAAGCTAAACTGTTTAGCAAATACTCTGCCATTTAGGAACCTTTCAAAAGCAAATAACCTAATGGCAGGGTCTTAAAAGCAAAATATTTTATTTGTTATTTAACCTCTACAGCCTATAGAAAAGCTCGATGTCTTATTTTACATGGAAAAAGAATTTTGCTTTCGGACGAATGCCTGTTTATGAAAAGCACTTCAAGTAAATCAAGTGGTGTTAAAAACGCAGAAATGCATATCAACCTCAATGATGCACTTGGAAATGCGCAGCCTTATCTAATTGGTAAATTCAGAATGGTAACTGCAAAAAGATCCGGTAAATATAACGTCCACTACATGCAGGTACATATTAAAATCGCACACTTTAATACATCTGGTTCAGGTTTTTTACTCTTAATTTTAATGTTAATCTATAAATTCACCACATTACTGACAAAACGGTTTACATAAGACGCTACCGATAACATATTTCAGCAATTACTTGATTATATCATGTATGCACTGTTGGATTAGCCTTCCGTGATAACAAAAACTAGTTGGTTGCTGAACCGCCAAATTCATGGTTTCGTTTATTTCAAAGACATTATGAATTCCTTAAAAGATTAGTTAATTCCTTTTCAATATAGAGTTCTCTACATTTAACTTTGCACTTTTGACTTAATTGCAAGGCCGTTTTTATGCCATTGGTCACGTTGGAAAATAGCCTGTAGCATCACGCGTAAACACGATATATTTTTGTTTAAAAATGTATCTTTATTCGAATGGGTATAAATTTGCATAGCACTGAACAGTTTTCATTTGAGACCTACTATAGATTTAAGATAGTTTTAAGCCTTAACTGCTTTAAATTAAATACAGCTCAAAATTTAATGCGCACGAAGAAATCAAATTCGGAAATATTACTGAGATTTTTTCTCGCAATCTGCTGGCCTATCAATTATATTGGAAAATTTTCCTATCTTCAAAGCAGCTTTTAAATTTTGGAAATAACCAAAACGCGCAGATAGCTTAGTCAGCTGAAAAGGCAGGGTCTTGATCGCATCAGTGGTCGAGGAGTCCTCACAAAGAATGCACTGTAACTATTATGTGCGAGACGGGAATTTTCAGAAGTCTTTACCAGGTGAAAACTTCAGGGAAAATTAAACTAGTTCCATTTTGACTAATCTCTGGGCATGGGGTTATGCTGCAGCTGGCGACTGAATTAGACCACTGAGAACTAATTGTTCAAAGTACTAATAGTTCAAATCCCGGCAAACAAGTCAAATGCATGTCGATTTCATGATCATTCCCATGTGTAACATGAGTTCGGAAGAGTTAACGTTAGAAAGTCAATCTCAAAGTAATTCATCACCTTGGGTAGATTGCCATCATCTGTTTTACCCTATTCAATTAACAAGGGTGGAATTGGTTTGTATACTGACACTTTAACTGCTATCTGATGAATCTTCAATAGACACGCTTCGGAACAATTTAAGCATTTTTCTGTTAAAGACATATCATGCGTTTTCGGCCCCATAACGATTTTTCCCCTTTCCTTCGATACTCGCCTAAACAGAATTATCGGGAACACCAACAAGAAAAGTTTTCTAATTTCTTGAAAAAAAGTTCTCTACAAACCAATTATAGGACAAGAACATGGCTCTCATTATTTTTTCTTGCGACTAAGTTTTCATGCTTCCAAAATTTTGTAACATCCATTAGAACGAGATAAGGAATTACTGTACATCTCGAATGCAACTATTCTAGTCAGCTTTTGTGTTTGAAGTAACTATTTGATTTCGTTTAAAGCAATTTCTGAATTTCAAAATTAATTCGATGTTAAGCCCCGGTACATAAGTAAATGAATCGTATAGCAAAGAAATTCATAATCTAACAAACCGCGTTTGTATTGGGACACCTTTTTTCTCTCCGAAGCGAATTTGAATAGCAGATTGTATATCCATTTCGGCTTCGAGTCGCATTTTAAGTTTCATGAAGTGGGTATTCGAATAGTCTTTCATTGTGAAGAACATTTCTGTTAGCATTTAATTAGTTACTTTATTAAAAACACATTCCGTCAAAACATTAATTGTTAAATACTTGCTTTATTCAGAAACATTACCGTCAACATTACTGCTCAAAAACTTGCAGTTCAAAAATATTATCGTTCTGAAAAAAACTGTTGTTGCCAATCGGGAAAATACATTTTAAATAGAATTAATACGTTGCGTTTACATTCGGGCATCCTGACTTAGTTACGACCTCGGAACATTAAGAACTTATATTTAAAAAAATTAAATCTGTAATATTAATGTTTATAGTTTGAAAGTCTTTAGCTGTCATATAGATTCACCGTCGTTTTCTATTCTTTTTCCGTGTCCTAGTTTTAGTAATATGCGGCGTTGTTATGTTATCCCCAGTAACACTAATGTCATCACCATCATCATCGTCTTCTTCCGATTCAGCTTGACACTGCCATGACTTTAATTGGCTCACATGAGCTGTCGTACTAAAGAAATGTCCTTTCACCTTCTCTTCTAATTGAGTCACTATATAGGTATCACTTGGTAAAATTTCTGTAACTCTTAAGGGTCCTCGATACTTTTGTTGTGTTTTGGTTGATTCTCCAGTTGATTTAGGTACTCTTCTCATAACTACTATTTCTCCTCGTTCGAATGTTAAAGAATTACTTTTCTTGTCATAATTTGCTTTCATTTTCATCTGCATATCTTCAATTCTCTTTCTAGCTTCATTTTGTAAGATTACTGGATTCTCCCATTCATTTGCGTCTTCATCTGTAATCATCCTCATCAATCCGTCGTTAAATTTTGGTGAATAACCGTGAAGCATTTCAAAAGGAGTTTTATTTGTAGTCTTATTTATCATATTGTTTAGATTTCTTTCGCATTCCTTAATCTTTTTGTCCCAGTCTCTCTGATTCGGATTTTCCATACTCGTTTTAATCGTAGCCAAAATTGTTCGATTTGCTCTTTCCACCATTCCATTACCACTTGGATGTTGAGTTGAATTGAGTGTATGACTGATTCCATTATTTTGACAGTACTCTCGAAATTCCTTTGCTGTGAAACATGTTTCTCTATCGCTGATAATTTTTTCTGGTAACCCAAAATCATCTACAAAACTCTTCAATGCAACTAACACATACTTGGTTGCAGTACTTTTCATAGGATATAAGCGTGTAAATCTCGTAAAATTATCAATTATTACAAATAATTCTGTATTTCCTCTTGAATTTTTTACGAATGGTCCTAAATGATCTATATGTATAATTGCAAAAGGTCTTCTACCAGGTCTAATTGGATGCAGTACTGCTTGTTTCTTATCACTAGACATTTTATTTACTAGGCATTCAAAACACATCGAAATGTGACGCATAACATATCGTTTCATTCCTTTAAACCAATATGATTCCTTGATTTTGGCAACAGTTCTGTCTGCTGAAAAATGTCCCAAAAGATCGTGAAATTTTACTACAATACCTTTTCTCATCGATTTAGGTATGACATATAACAATTTTCTCCTTTTCCTGATCTTTCACTTTACGAAACAATCGATTATTCTTCAAGACGTAATTTTCAGTTACATATTTCTCTGCATTCGTTCTATCATTTATCTTTTTCTTTAAAATGTCTATTAATTTGCGTAATTCTGGATCTGAATGCTGAATCATAAGAATTTGTTCATCTATCGTTAGCGTTAAACAAACTTCCAAGTTGCTTTCAATTATAGAGTCTAAAGTTTCTTCTGGCTGATCAACTGGCGATCGGCTCAATGCATCTATGTGACTCATTTTTTTACCTTGTCTGTGCTTTATTTCAAGATTGTATTCCTGGATCAGATTACTCCACCTTGCTATCTGAGGATTTGAAGTTTTCTTCGCGTTTAAATAAACTAAAGCTTGGCAGTCTGTAATTACCGTAAATCGGATTCCAATTTAAAATTGTCGAAATTGTGTCAAAGCCCAAACTATAGCCATTAATTCTAATTTGCTTGAATGATAATTCTTTTCTGTTTCTGTTGTCCCTTTACTTACACAATAAACTAAATGCCACTTTCTATCTTCACCTTTTTGCAACAGCATTCCTGCCAGTCCTTTGTTGCTCGCGTCTGTGTGCACTTCAGTCTCTGCTTCGGGATTATATAATGCTAGTATTGGTTCATTAGTTAAATGATCCTTTAAAGTACTGAATGCTTCTTGCTGATCTTCGTTCCAACGAAATGTTTCATCCTTCCTCGTCAGTCTCTTGTTTAGCGGCTCAGCTTTCTCTGCGTATTTCGGTACAAACCTTCTAAAGAAACTTGTAAGACCTAAAAATTGTTTAACTTCATGTTCATTGGTTGGTTTAGGAAAGTTTAATATGGCTCGTACTTTTCTTGGTCCAGGTTGCATACCATTTGATGTTATTAGAAATCCCAAATACTCAATTTCATCTTTTCCAAATTCGCATTTTGTCAGTTTCAATGTCAGCATTGCTTCTCTCAATCTATCAAACACTTTCCTAAGTTTTTCCATCATTTCTTCCCAAGATTTAGCCGGAATTAATATGTCGTCCAAATAGCACAATACTTCTTTATTAAGCAATGGACATATAACTTGATTCATAAGTCTCTGAAATTCTGCAGGTGCATTAGCTAACCCAAAGATCATACGTTCAAATTGACCAGTATCATCTGGAGTGATGAAAGCTGTTTTCAGTTTCGCTTCTTCAGTTAAAGGAATCTGCAAATATCCATGAACTAAGTCCAATGTAGTGAAAACTTTACACTCACTAAGACATTCAAGGAGATCATCTATCCTAGGGAGTGGAAATTTATCTTTAACAGTTTGCGAATTCAACTTTCTATAATCTATCACTAATCGTAATTCACCTGTTTTTTTCTTTACGAGTAAAACTGGACTAGCATACGGAGATCTTGTTTCAGTAACAATTCCATATTTCTTCCATTCATTTATTATCTTCTTTATAGAAGCACGCTCTTCGGCATTGGTTTTATACGACTTCATGCAAATAGGCTTATTCCCTTCAATTTCTTTAATATCCATTTTTGTTAAGTTTGTACACCCTAATTCCTCCATATTTAATGCAAAACAATCTCGATACTCATTTATCAAATGTAAAACTTCCTGTTTTCTTTCTGGCGTAGTATTATTATTAACTTTAATTTCTTCTAAAGTAATCGGTCTCCTAAACTTCTTAATTTCATTTATTATCAGTATTTCCTTTTGACTTGAATTTTCAGTTTTCTGATCTGAACTTGGTTCAACTAATTCTGCTACTTCCGCTCTACCGATACATTGATTCTCTTTCAAAATTAGTTTTCGATCGCTGTAGTTAGTGACTGGTATCACTGTTTCTCCCTGTATTACTTCCAATAATGAGCCCAACTCATCTTCCGATCCACTTATTAAAACATAACCGTTATTTATTTCATCAGTTTTAACTTTCACGAAATTAACCGTATTACTTTCGATTTGAGTTTCTTGGGAAGCCTTCAGTTTAATTCGCGGAGTGTTGCTATCATTTTGCAACTGTGAAAATGGCACAAGTCATTAGCATAGCGTATGTGCAAGGTATTACCTATCTTGGCGTATGCAATATGTGGTAAATCAATCCATGTTCGACCAACTAATAAGTCGCATGGTTGCGTTTCATCTCCTACAATTAGAACTGTAATGTCCTTTCCTTCCACATTATCAATCTCTAAGTTAACAGTTACTTTTCCCAATGTTCTAGCGGCTGGTTTACTCTGGTTCCCAAAGCCAAACAATTC